CGGGGAAGCCTGGCCGCGGCCCGGGGCGGCCCGAGCCCGCCGGGAAACATGTCGACGGGGGAAGGCTTCGAGCCCCGCTTGGAGAAGATTGATGCGATGCTGAGGAGCCCCCGCTCCGAGGTCAACGTGGACTGTCTGCTGGTGAGTCCCTGCTTACCCATCCATCCTTAATTCGTAAATAGGGGTTGGGGGGCAGGCCCGCGTGGCTCGCCCCAAATCCTGCCGCGAGTCTCGGGGGAGAGCCCCCCTCTCCCCACGACGGATGGGACAGAGCTGTAGCCCAGAAGGCTCTGGCGGCGTGGCCTGGGACGGGGCTCCCTTCATTCACAGCTGGGGGGGATGAGAGTCCTGAGCAGTTTCTCGCCTGAGAGGCTGGTTGGCGGGCTGCTGGGTTCTGCTGGGCTTGGCTGTGCTTCCATCCAGCAGCGGAGGAGGAGAGGAGCTGCTTTAGCTCGTTGTACCGCTGCTGATATCCTGTGGCAGTGTGCTGTCCTTGTAGCAGCGCAGCAGTTCACGTGTGGTCAGTGGCAGGTGATTGTGGGGGGGGGTTCTGTCTGTCTGTCTGATTATAATTTCAGAGGAGCTAACAGATAGTTGGCTTCACCTTGTGATGCTGCTTCAAATGCTGTGGTTCATCTGCTCTGTGGTGTCAAGCCGTGCACCTGTATTTGCCCCTCCTTGTTATGGACTCGACATGATGTCTTGTACTTTCCGTTTAGCTTACTGCTCCCTCACAGGATCCTGAGGTTGTAATGAGCTTTTCTGTCTGGTAGGTCAAAACATGCCCCTTGCTGAACTGTAGGGCTTAAGATGTGTGAGGGTTGGTGCTGTTCTGTTTTGTCTTTAAAACATCAGCCCTCTGAAGGAGGGAGGATTCGTGGATGGCTTTCAGGTTGTGGTAATAAGGATGTCTGTGGTTTCTTTTTTCTTTTTTTTGTTCTGTTTTTTTTAAACATCTTAATAAGTAACATCCTGCGATTTACAGAAGTACTACTGTTAAGTAATCATATCGGATGTCACACACGGAGGTAGGGTAAGAATGGTTAGACATGCTAAGCTGATGCTAGACTAACTGTTCTGAAATGTACAGCTAAATGGTGTGAATGTACACCTAAATTTCACCACTAGGATTCACCCCTCCCCCCGCCACTTTAACCCACCAGTTGAAGTGTGGTGGTAGTCTTTGCTCCTAACATGCCTAGGCAATTCTATGAATATGGTGGGGAACCTGACTACAAGCATGGCTTCAGCCTGTGGTTTGGACAGGGCCTCATCCACATATCCATCTGCTGCTTAGAGTCTAGAGCCATATTGTTAGCTAGGCTGGAGGACAGTTGTTGGTACCACATTCCCTGACATGGTTTTACTAACCTGTAGAAAAATCTTACACATGGTTTTGGCCCAGGCCTTTGCCTGACTCATTACTACAGCTTTACAGGGTACAGTGTAGTCATTGAAGTCATGGTGAGCATCCAATTTTAATGGTATCTCCTTTTGGCAAGAGAGAATTACTTTGTTTCTTATCTTTGCCTAGTTAGTAGTCGTTTAAAAGAAACACAGTTGAAAACTATATTTCTTGATTAAAATGAGAGATGACTTTAGTATTCAGCTTAGTCTGGTGAGCTGACTTCTGCACATCCTTGGTGATGTTATTGCTGACTGGAGTTTGTTTCCAGCTCTTGTATCTTTATCTCTTAACTCTAAAAGGAGTTAGAATTGGTTATTTATTAGAGGTTTTGTGCTTTTTTTAGCCCAAAACGTAATATGTTGCTTATAAGAAAAAATACGTTACACTTCACATATTCTTTCATTGACAAGAGCTCATTTAGAGCTATAGAGTAGCATAATTAATTTACTTTCTGTAGAAAAACAGTATTTTCTGTTTTTTTAATAGCATTTGAAGATGGCTAAATTGTATCTAAATCTCAAGTCTCTAACATTTTAAACAGTTTGCTTTAAAGAAGCTTAGAAACAGTTCCACAGGACAGGTGTACACAACTGTAGTTCTGATGCCCCTTCCTTGGTTCTGATAAAAATCAGTGCAAATATCTGGGCTGTTTTTGCTTCTACTTATTAAGTTCATAATTTTAAAAAGTGTTTTTTTATTAAAGGAATGAATGTTTTTTGTGTCCCTGGTTGCTTTCACTACTTATAGCATAAAGTAATGGTTCTCTCAACCTTTTTAGACTTGAGGCACCACGAGAGAGACTCTGGGCACCCCTCAGGAAATGCCAGCTCTTAGTTTTTGCTTTTAGTTTTCTACCTACAGGAAAAAATAATAGAGCAGTTTCTCTGTTGCAAAGAACTCAAAAAGACCACAACTGTGTATTTCTATCTGAAATATCTAGGTTTATCTTGTGAATCATGTTTATACAACCAGAGCCAACCCGAGCAGAGTGCTGGGCCCGGGGCAGATCAGCCCATGTGGGGCCCTGCCCCCACTGATCCCATGTGCCCTGGACCTGAACAAGCTGCTGCTGCCATCGGCGGCAGTGGGGGGGTGTGGGTAGCAAGCGGCTGGATATGAAGCCAACGGTGTTGGTGTGGAGTCACCGTGGCTGCTCCACCCAGCTCCGCAGGGCTCCTCGGGTGGCCCTGTATATTCCTAACAGTACTTACACTGTGTGGCACCATGTGTGTCATCCTGGAAAGGATCTCGGGACATCCTGGTTGAGAATCAGTTAGCTGATACCTGGCTTTAAGGTATCAGCTGAATGCATGTTTCAGCTGTAATATGTAAATATATAGTCCAAATATCCTAAATACACAATTATTTTCTTTTTACATAGTTTAAAATGAATTGTCACCTTCTCCCTCCTCCCCCCCCCCTTTTTTTTTTATTATTAGGTACAATGCACAACTTTTCATATTGGTGTGAAGAAAAACACTCTCAGGGGTAATCTGTTTCTTATAATGGCTTATTTTCACTCCCCTCCTCCCCTGTTCCCTGCCCACTTATTCCTTTTCCTGCACTCTTGTTTCTCCCTTAAATTTAACTCTTGATGTAGCATTGTGGTATTGAGGTTTGTTTGCATTCATTTAGTTCTGGTTCTGGACACTGGCTCCCATGCCATTTCCCATTTTTCTAGCATCAGAAGCAGGGTGGAGGGATTACCCAGGTGAATAGCATACCAAGAAAGGATTTATGAATTTATAGTTGTGGGCTTCTCATAGCTTGGGGATATCTACATGATACCAAAAAAAGTCCATTTCTAACAGGCAAAGCTTATGTGCTGTCTTGTGACTCTAGCATCTGAGCAAAATGATTCATGTGTGTTGGACTCATGGGCATAATTCTTGCAATTCATATTTAACACAGAAGGCACTTGTCTGGGACAGCTTCACAGCCAGTTTAAGGTGTAGCACTATGTCTGTTTAGTAACGTAGATTTCTGCAGCCACCACTTGATGCTTTGTACTGGTTTGTAGGTGAAGAGAGGTAGTGACAAAAGAAAAGAGGAAAAATGAAAAATGTACTGCAGGGTAGAAATATTGTAGTAGCCAGTAAGAAGAACAAAGTGAACTCATGGAAAAAAAGATGAGACATGAGAAAATGGAGCAAGAATAAGAGATTCAGATCTTTGGTTAGAATAGGCTTCAGTTAACTTTTATATGGTCAGTGTAGGATTTCTACCACCCTCAGTTTAGCTGTGGCCTTCAAAGTGATAGCCAGAATGTGTTGAGTTTCTAGCCAAGTGAGAACCTTGTTGGTAACTTGATACAGGTGATCTATTAACTCTTCAGTCAAAATATTAAACCCTAGAGTCTCTATGTAATGTTGAAAGATCAAGTAAAATGATGAAGGGTGTGTCAGATAGCTAGTGAAACACTCTAGGGTGTGGATTAATAAGATGCTGGTGCACACCTTGTGTTAAATAGGGCCCAAAGGCAAAATAAGAAATTTGCTATTGATGCAAGCCCTGTAGTGCTTCATTAATAACAGAGCAGTTTTTTTGCCTTTTTTTTAACCTATTCAGTGAATAACCTTTCACCACACAAAAGAATGGAAAGAGACTTAGAAAAAGGTTAATGAGGACAAAAGTTCTAAATGTTTGGGTATCAGTTTTAAAACTGCAAAAAAACCCTCCTGGGCAGAGAGAGAGTGTGTGCGCGCACGCCTTTCACTTGATCCAGAATTAACTTAAACAAAGGCTTGGTAAAATTCCATTTGGCTGGGTTTTTGAGTTATCTAAGCACAAAGTCCTTTTTCACGCTTTAAATATTGTTTAGACACTTGGATAACTCAAATGGTTTAATTTAAAAACTTCAAGCTCCCTGTAATCCTAATCCTAAAAGATGACAAATGCCTCTTAACTTGTTAAGAAATTTGGCTTGGAAATAATTGACAGCACTACACGCCATGTACGTGACTAGTTTTACCTAGTTTGTGTAGAGGTATTGGACTGCTCCAAAAATGTATTATTACAGCACTCGGTTTATGTAGCGTTTCCCTAGTTCCTGATGGCCTGGATGTTGTGGTCTTTAAGGAGAGGCAGTAAATTTCCTATATTAAGTAAAAATCTACTGTAACATTCTCAGTTGATTCACTCTGTTACTTGCTAAAATAAATGTTTGTGATGTGTTGCAGTTAACTTGGGGGAGTGGGGGGAGATTCTAACTCCATTTTTTAGGAGACTTGACAACAAAAACACTTTTTAAGTAGTTCCCTCTTTGAAATTCTTTTCTGTATCTAATATTCCTCTGTCAAAACAATCCTTTATGGCATCAGAAATCTTTTTTTTTAAACTGGTTTAAACATTCACTTGATGATTAAACACTTCTGGTATTTGGAAAGTTCCATTTTTCTCTATGCTTAAAGAAAATAATTGAGAAAATATCTTACTAGTCAGGTTCAGAAACCAATTTTGAACAGGGTAGTGAAAAATGTATGGGAAATGCCAGGTACTGGGAAAATCTAAAACGATGATTGTCCATCTTTTTAGATTGAAGACACCCTTGGATAGACTGGAGGAATCCCTTGGGAAATGCCAGCTCTTGGTTTTCACTCTTTTTTTTCCTTGATTGCAGAAAAATAATAGAGCAGTTTTTCTGTTGCAAACAACTCCAAGACCACAACTATGAGTTTCTATTTGAAGTCTTTGGGTTTATCTTGTGAATCATGTTTTCAAACCTAACATTGTG